TCAGAACATTTTCATCCTGACTTTACCTTCAATGTGTCAGACAATCTAGCATGAGGTAGCATGATGTACTTCTCTAAAAATAAAAGACAATTATGCTGGTTTAATGGCCTGCATATTCCCAGTGGAAATAGTCTGATTAGAGCAGCTGCAGAGATATTCTAATTAGGCCGTCAGATTTTTATCACCAAACTTTGAAAAATAATGCTTGATCTGACAGTAGTGCAAGTGTTTGAGATGGATGATACTACCTTGGACATGATTACTGTGAGTGAATATATCTTCCCATCATTTCCTGGCACAGATGTTTACAGAAATTGACAGATTTAGCTTGTTTCCTCCCCATGAGCATGACCACAGAAGAGAGAATCACTTCACCATGTCCCCGTGGTTACAGCATAATCAGTGTGACAGATCATGCCAAGAGGGACCGTATGTCTGGATAGGGGGGAATGGTGTCTGATCCATGCAGACAGACGTGCAAGAGATTTTTTTTAATGCTGTTGCTCCTTGGCTGATGTCTTTGTTGAAGCTGATCTTATGGAGGAGGGATTGTCTGAGGAAGTGATGGCCTTGAGTCACCTGTTTAACCTGGACTGCAACATGTTCTATAAGCTGCTTTAACAGCAGATAATCTAAAAGGATCAGCAGGTTGGAAGGACTCTCAGGTTCACTTTCACTAGATGCAGTAAGGTGCATTATTACTTGAAGCTGTCTATTTCTTCAGGTACAACAGTTAATTTTTATACTTAGCTCATTGACACGTAAAGCATATTATATTTATAACAGTGACAACAGTGTTTTAAATTGTGAACCTGCAATATGAATATTAAGAAGCAAGTTTTTCCCAGGTGCAGTCACTGTTAAGGGCTGATGCCTCTTTGCTTCAGTTTTGAGCTTTGCCGCACTGAGAGCATCTGGCAGGATGATCTCAGGTCTGTTGGGGCTACTTGGCCCAATCGTTTTCATTTAATAAATTGGTGCCAAACCATTTAAAGTGTTAAACGTAAAATCAGTGCATGACTGACCCAAAAAGGGAAACATCTCATGTCCGACATGCTTTTTCCATCAGCTAAACTAGCACTTTTTTTGTTCGATGTTCAGGTCAGTAATTTGGTAGCTGAAAATGAATTTGGTTTATTTTGCCTTTTTTTGTTTTATTTCTACCTTAGGAAAATCATAAATATGATGGTTGCCCAAAGGAAACTATATATATGGTATAAAATACTTTCTTTAAGTCTTTACAACGGGTCTGATACCACATGAGGGAATGGTCGTCTCCCCCTGGTGCTCTGGATCACTTCTGCTGTGCAGAGGTTGTTTGTACCTTACCTTGCAGATGGTTTTGTTACTTGCAACTTTATTCCTTTGTATGTTTTTTTTTTTTTAGTGGTAGACTGATGTTTTTGTATTTACTGCATATTTATCTGCAGCACTTTTGCACCCCTCAGCCAATGATAGGAAACCACTTTGTGTCTGAATTGAAGTAACCCTGTGAAGCTTAATTTCTCCACTCAGCGACTTCCCTAAGGGCGGCACACCATTTATTAGTGTTGAGGAGAGATAGATTTCTCAAAGGGCCAGCTAGTTTTTTTTTCTTTAATATATGAAATCCTTTTAAATCCAAATTCACTCAGGTTATTTTTGTCAGATCAAAAAATCTTTTTTGGGAGGTCTGAAATGTGTAAAATGCAGAAACAAGAAATCCTGAAGGGGGAACCCACTTTTTCACACCAGTGCTCACATGTGGAAGATGTGATCAGTGTGAAGAGCCGCCTGAGGAGGCGGGTGCTTCCTGCACTCCATGACTTCCTGCTGAGCCCAGTGCAGGTGTCCTGGGCCAAATTTAACTTAACAGCTGTGATGGGAGGAGTCGATGTGAGAAACCCGTTTTTACACTATATTATTTCCAGGGAAGTGAACTGAAACATGCTGCTTACCTCTTTGAAGGAAAAAACTCAGCCAAGTTTCATGGACTGTTTACTGTTGACAAATATGTCTATGTGTACATATCAGAACCATATACACAGAAATACTGTAAAACGCCATCCACCTACACCAACAAACATCATCAAAGGAAGAGGACATTTTTTACTGCAGAACTTTTAAAATGCTTTTGCTAGCTGAGGCCTAGAAAATAAGCTTTCTTTTTTTATTTGGCTGCAGGATTGAAGGGAAGGACATCTGCTCCCTCATCAGAGACGTGCTCCACTTTTGAACAAATTGACTGCCAGTAGTAATTTCTCTGCTGGTCACTCACCCCAAAATAGTCATGGCCTTTAATCAATCTGATGCATACGACTCTACTAATCAGGCTGCATCCTGTCATCTTTTCCTTTTAACTACATTTGAAAGGAAATATTGGTTAAGTTTAATTTTTCTCCTATATTGATTGATCTTTAAGCCTTTGTTTTCAGAGGATATAATCTGCTGCATCATTAATATTTTTTATATGCTGCAATTCCTACATTTCACCTCTTGATATTAAATACAAACGTACTTAAAAAGCTAATTAATTGATAAATAAAGTTCACCTCTGCATCATGTAATGCCACCTAAAATCCAACCCTCGCAGATTTGGTGGAGAATATCAGTAGGAAATCTACAGCAAGGAATTCCCAATCTAAAGTTGTGCAGAAGGTTAAAGCTGGGTGAACTGTACAACAAAACAGAGCTTTTAAAGATCTCTCCCCAAACTATCATCTGAAAATGAAAATAAAAACAATTACTCAACTGCAAAGCTACCAAGACATGGCCATCCAGCTACACTGATAAGGAGGGCAAGGAGAGCACCAATCAGAGAAGCAGCCTAGATCTCCTTGATAAATCTAACCTCGGTAGATGAGCGGCAAGCAGAATATAATTAAAATTGCTGTTTGCAGGTTTCTGCATGTACGAAAAACATGCCAAGATCTTAAAGAAGGAATTCCGGTTATGTGAGGCTAAAACTGACAGAAATTTCGTTCAGTAGAAGCAATACCCCCTGAGCTGAGGGGACGCTTTTCTCTATGAACAGGGAAGCAGAGCCGGAGTATTTCAGAATTGTCCAATTAAAACAGACCTAAATTCAATTAAGAATCAGTAGCAAGACCTGGTCTGGCAAGACAGGAAGTCTTTCTAATCTGTCTAGGCCTGAGCTGTTGTGTAAGAAGGAATCCTTAATATCCCAACTTGTTTTCAATAATAAACACAAGTTGGGATATTAAGCACAGGCCAGACCAGTTCTGCCTCTTAAAATCCAATCAGAGCACGATCTAACACGCTCCAGCATGTGATCCATTTTCCGTGTGTAGATTTAGGGGATACGGAGGTAGTTTTGTAGGGAAGTTCACCTCATGTCACTGGTTGCTAGGTGACAGTGCTGGAGAGGAGCTGCTCGTTTGCAGCTATCCTCCTTGACAGATCTGAGATCGGCCTTCATGCTCCTCCTGAACAGCCAGTTGCTCTCCATATCACCTCCTGTACACACCGCCGGTTGTCATGGGGATTCCAGGGACATCTGACTAAAAAAATGACGTGAATCATGGATAAAAAAAAAAAAATGAAAATGTTCATCTAACACCGACAGCTGACATAAATTAAATTTATCCCAAGGCCAGATACTGACCCTTATTTACTGTGTTTTGCTTCATAAAGTTGTTTTTAAAAATGTTCTTTGTCACATATATATATAAAATATAAAATAAAAAATCTGCAATCAGAATCATCCAATAATTTATTCACATTACGGTTGGGAGATGATAATCTTCTTCTTGCATATATTCCTATCTTTTAGTGTCAGTTTTATCCTGTTTTCTTACCCCATTTTCCTACAAGACCACAGCACGAAACTAGTATTCCCTACATAAATGTTAAATATTTCTAATTATTTAAATTCCCTTTCTGTTGCACCCCCCCCCCGAACAGCATGTCACTTAATAATGATTTGGCTGCGGTGTTTGACAGTTTTAGTTCTGTATTTACTTTTTTTTTGTCACACTGAATTGTTCAATGTTCTACAACAACTGGCAAGAAGCGTTTCACCCTTTCTTTTACAGGCCTGAGGAAGAATTCTGCTCCTCTCTGCTTTATAGAATTGTTTTAATTCAGCCATATTGGATGTTTTTTTTAGGATGAAGGGCATCTTGGTGGGAATATCACAGCATGTCAATCAATTTGACCCCATAGCCTTTATTTAGTTTAGTTTTACCCTTTAGTGCCAAGGTGGACTGTGTTTTACATTATTGTTCCGCCCACATAACCACAGAGTAGGTTGAGCTTAACTTATCTGATTGTTGGACAATTTCCTTAAAGGTTTGCTGGTTAATCATAGAATTTATAATTTCATTACAAGTTTTTAGGTCTTGAAACAATGCAGCAGCTCCATGCCGTCACATTACCTCTACCATATTTCATGTCCTGATGCTCCTTTTCTGAAATGCTGAGCTGTTTTCATGCCATATTTAACAGGAATTACACCTTCCAGACATATGTTTCCAAAAGTGTACTGATATTTTTCTTCCCCTTTCACTCTGAAACTCTGTCTCAGGTGAAGATATTGTCCAATATATTTTGTTAATGTTTAAATCCTGAGAACTGAGCTTGACTGAGGCAAGTGAAGCATGCAGTGCTTTATCTCTGGATAGTTTGCCATCCTCCTGGATGTGTTACTGAGGCCCTCTTGGAGCATCTTTGGTGCATTGGGACTGTGAGGTTCAGCACTTTGCCCTAGCAGCTCAATTTGTGGAGAGCTGTTCTCATTTTTGTTACCTGCGTTTGCAAAGCTTAAGAAATTACTTTTGTGAATCCTCTTAAGATTGATGGATGTCCTTGACTTTTTATTTTTTGTCATTTTTTCATGTATATCATATATTCAACAGTGCATGATAGAAATATTGGGCCTACTTTATGCTGTCAGACAGGTACAATTTTTTAACAGATTTTTAAGGTCAGGGCTCAGTAATCTGGGTGCAGCTAGTAAAAGTACAGAAAATAACTTTGATTGTTTCACTTTGCCACTAAAAGCTTTGATAGCCTAAAATATTTGAGTGTGACTAAGAAGCAAAAACAGAAGAAATCTAAAAGGAGGCAAATATATATTTTTATACCACTGTAGTCTTGTTTAGTAATTTTTTTTTACATTTAAAGTTACTAGAAAAAGTAAAAAAATAAAAATAAATAAGAGGGAGAATACTATAGGTCAAAACGACTATTGTTTCGCTGCTGGCTGACACAGAATCCAGTCTCCTGGCTACCTCGCTCTGTTGGACAGGTTTTCAATGTCTTCACTTTGTTCTAAACACCCACCCAATGTGACTGCAGCACTGGTCCCATTTCAGGATGAAACATGGTCTCCATCCTCATTAACCCAAATGTCTATATTAATAAAATGAAAGCAGATCTAGACTAGAAATGGGGCAGATCGCGATGAGATGGTCCTGATTTCAGAATGCTCACGTTAACACTGAAGTAGGACATCTTCGCCCCTCCTCCACCAGGGGAATAAAGGCAGTTTCTATATAAACTTATACCCCCTGGTCCTTTTAAAACGGTCCCACCTCTCGTGAGGTATGAGCACCATAAGAAGCAGATGGGAGAAAAAAAAAAAGGAAAGTTATGTCTAACAAATGATGCTTTAACTTGCTATTAATAAAATTAGGAATTATTGTTTTTTTTTTTTTAGAGTTTTCTTTTGCAGTCCTATATATAGAAAACCCTCAAAACATCAGTCGTTGTGGTGTAAAAAAAAAAGAAAAGAAAACGACAGCTTCGACGCTACAAGTCTGAACAGGAGCATAACAAGCCCACAACAGGTGAAAAGAGTTCTTCCAATGAAACGACAAGTTTGCTCCCATAGATAAATTAAGTCTTTTAATTCTTGTAATCTACTGCATCTTTTGACAGTGAGTGGGAGGCAGCATTAAGACAGGGGGGGAAAATCAGGAGATGCGCAGGGAACCAAACAGGAAACAATGACGTGCACAGTCATGACTCATCCAACTCATTCTGCTCATGAAACTGCCGATGTGTTCCACAGTCTCATCTTAATGAGCCGTTGAACTGACCGAGGGTTCAGGGGAACTCATAAAGCACCAACACATCCCTTGGTCCATTATGAGTTTCACAGTTACATTAAAGACAAGCTGATTTCAGCTGAGAATAGATAAATCGAGCGGAAGGAGGCGTGTGCAGTTCATGGTACCACAGTAGCACAGTTTCCTCTGAAGTCCGTCTGTGGAGAGTCCCTCTGAAGAATGTTGGGTGCCGAATCTTCCCGAGTAGTCAAACGTCAGTTCCTCCTGGGCATTAATGTCCCGTGCTGCGAACAGCGCCAGCCGTGGGATCACAGAGTGAACACGCACCGGCAGCATGAACAGGTTTGGTGCACAGGAGTGGTTAAGAAAGCGGCCCACGTTTCCCACCAGAGCGGGGTCCACAAATGTCTCAGCAATTGAGTCCGTTCCTGCGTGCTCCCTGACGGCGATGATGTAATTGTTCTCATCAGCTCTCTGGTTGAGCTGTCTCCGTTTGGCCTCCGCCAAACCGATCACCTCCCCCGCGTACTCGCACACAAATGTCCCGCGTGGGATTTCCTCCAATGTTCTAACTCCCCAACCTTTGCTCTCGGTGTGGAAGACCTCCAGCCTGAGTTGAAGCCCCCTCTGCACCACACGATTAGAGCAGGAGTCGCCGCAGGTACAGAGGGCGTTGCATTCAAAGACCGGGGAAGAGTAACCGGAATCAGTTCTGTTGAGGTGCAGCAGCCTGCCATTGCTCTCGTAGGCCTGACCGTATGTCTGGAGGCAGCAGCAGCTCTCAGCGTGGCAGGAAGGGGAGTGACAGTAGCATCCTGGAAGGGTTACTTCAGCCGGGTCAATGGAGCATCCTGGTCCCTGAATGTTATCTGAGGAGTACTAAATAAGACAAGAAAAAAAATAAAAGTTGCATCAAAAATTGAATCATATATATACTGTATATGACACATTATAGCACCTTGCAAAAATATTGATACTGTTAGAGTTTTTTTTTATACTTGTCCCCACATTACATCCAGACACTTTCCCTAAAGTGCATGTTGGTGTCTTTTACATGAGATGTATAAAGGTTTGTTGTTGCAAAATAGCCTGTTAAAAATAACAAGGAAAGCAAAAACTTCTGCAAACAAGTCAGACAGGTTTTAAGCTCAGATATGTTGCTGATGAAGAGATAGGCAGAAACAGAGCAGAATAGTTGTTATGTTTGACACACTTTTCCAGGCAGCTCCTGAGGATGCATTTGTGCATTTAGGCGACGGGAAATAAAGCTGTATATAATTTACCATCAGACCTTTTAAAACCCTATCCCTGCTTCAGCATAGTGTTCCTTGTCTGTAGAAGGAGTCATTAAAGGAATTGAAACCAGTGACTCTTTAGTTATGAAATTATTTGGGAAATTAATAAAGAGCAAGAGAGACGTCTCCCTTTCCTTTTTGGTTGTAGGGGGAGGAGATGATGCAACAGAGACACAAACATCTGGAGGGTACTGCGTCTGGTCAGATGACGTTTTGCTCATTTTCTTTACCTTTAATGCTTCAAACCTCATATTTAGGTTCTTTAATTGAAAACTGTAATGATATTGACTGTTGGTTTATCTCCTGATTGATTGATTTTTTTAACAGCTCAGAGTAAAAGTGTTTCATTTGGAACCCTCTCTTCATCAGCTGCTTTTCCTCAAGGTTGCTCAACTCAGTTTTATTTGTTTCTTGACAAATGAAAAACTGAGACATTAAAATGGCTGATATGTTATCAGCTTTGCCAATTATTCTTTCACTTTTAAACTGTGAAGATAAGGACCATGGCCTAGTACCTAATATTTCAACATTTTACAAATGGTGCCTTGCTTCCTTTTTAAATACAAATGTGGATCAGGCTAAATTAATGTATATTGACTCCTCGATTACTCCAGCAGTGACCAAAAGCCAAAGCGTTGAGCTGAAGCCACATCAGAAATATGTGGAAGTGCCTACTGATAATAAATTGAGCTTTGGCCACAAGGCAGAGACACTAACGCACAAAATAAGCACATAAGTGAATGCACTTTTTCCTCTGCACTACTAATGCCAGTCTTGCTTTACCAGAAGTCTTCTTATCATGTTTTATGGCCTCCATTCTTACGTTGTCCTTTATCGGTTGGCAAATGTCACTTTATTCAGGAATAAGGATCGTTTGCAGGACATTCTTGAAGAAAGCAGTAACACCAAAAAGATCCCTCCTGATGGTCTTAGTGACATTTATAATATTAGATCATTTAAAAAGCTAGGGTTATTACATTAAATCCCTACACATCCACTATGTTAGTTGGGTGTTATTTTCAAATCACCATCAGGACAGAGATACAAAATGGAAGATGGAGGATTTTTTTCTATGCTGAAAGATTGTTGAGGTTATTGATTTTTTTTTTTAAGTATAACAAACTGTGCATCAAAGAAAATTTAGAAAAACAGCCAATTATTTGTCTATACAAGCTGCAAAGTGGCTATATTTGCAGTGATGATTTACTGACACCTGGCGGTAAATCAATGAATTACAGTTAAATGATCCTTCTGAGCAGTTATGTCTTTGGGATACAATAGGTCTGAACACCCACGAGATTAAAGATACCTTCATTGTTAACTTAAAATAAAATAAAATAACACAGAACTCAGATAATACAGGGCTGTCATCTCTTACCCATTGGGAGTGAGACTCACCCATCTTCGTGTCTTCACACACTCTCACTCCATATTCTCAATTTCTCACACTAAATAATGACGGTTATTAAAACTTAACTCCATTTGACTTATTTATGTATAAAAATACCATATTGATGAAAATCCAGTCCGTGTTCTTAATACAACTTTAGTGCTGTTTTGCTCACAGGTTAAATAATTATCAGTCTAATTTAATACTAATTAAAAAAACACAAATATTTTAATTTTAAAGAAAGTTAACAACAACAACAACAACAACAACAAAAAAAGATAAAGAACCATTGGATTTTATTTTTCAAAAGATCAGCCACCAAAGAAAAGACCAACCACATCTAGAGAGGATCCGCAGAACAACTCAGTTATCCAGGATTCATAGAGGAGAAACCACAGGGATGTTCTTCTTTTCTTAATACTTATGTTACTCATTTATCCTTATTTTGGTAGATTTAATATGTTTAGAAACTTTATTTCCATCACACCTTCCAAATGAGACATCCAGAGTAGTGCTGTCTCCTGTCATGGTGATTTGTTTTTTTTTTTATAAAATCTACAGCCTCCTAGAAGGCCTGAATTGTTTAGCTGTTTTGTCAATTGTAAGATTGATTGTAACTAATAACATAATGAATTGAGCTTTTTTTTTTTTTTTTTACCAAATATTTATACACAGTGTAGTTTGCATAGGTTTCGATTGCACTGGTTCCTGTATCAGTGCCAGCAACCCAATAGTTTAATTTACTTGAACTGCAGAGAATAATTAACGAGCAAAGTTGTGAAATTCTTAGTTTAAAGTATATGTAAGATGCAAGTGTTTTAGTGGGGCCCTTTCTGCTTTACTTCGATTCTCTAAAAATCACCAGAATGTAGAAAATAATCTATAATGCGAGAAAAATTTTTCACATAACCACAGTCCACTTAATGTAACTCAGTATAATTTATTGTGCTATAAATATTCCACATTTTGCCGCTTTGTTTCAGTTAAATCCTCTGGAAATCTCCAACCTTTAGCTACACCTATCCTCATCTAATCCTCACAGGATTTCCTGTCCAAACTATTTCAAAATCTCACCCCAAGGTTTGGTGAAAAGTTGGCAGCCCTGGATTCTACTGTATTCAAACCCCAAGCTAATGTTTTAGGACTTCATATAAAAACAAAACAGGAGCTTTAACACTGTTAGTTTTGGCACTTTGGAGAACGACATGATAGTGTCTAATATAAAATGTATAAAACTACTAATGCTAATTTCAAATAAATTTCTGATTGTTAATTGTTGCTACCTTAAACGCCGGCGATGTCAGAGATTTACATAAAACAGGAACATCCTCCAAGCCAAAGCTCAGATCCACACCGGTATCGTCATTCATGCTGTGGCCTAGCTGAGGAGAGTAGGACCTCCTGGTTGAAGAGAGAGGAGTTTACCTGCTGTATGTAAACAAACTCAGAAGCTACGTCAAAAGCTTCCACTTCCGGTAGCCATATTAGCGACTGTCTCCTCCTAGCGGTAAGATGGAATCACTGCATATTGGAAGCGACAGGAGTCTTTAAAAGCGTTCATCATTCAATTACAATATACATTTTGACAGGTATTTCCTAATAGGTGTATACTTTAGTTAATGTCTGTCTTAATGCTTTATTTACACTTGTTTTTTTTATTTTTGTTTGAGGTGCTGCAGATACAAACCAGCAGGAGAAGGAAACCTGGAGCATACCATTTGTTTTTTGAAAGACTGACCTGGAGACTTCTTTCAAGTTGTTTTTAATTGGTTAATTTTGTCACTTAAATACTCTCTTACTATTGTTTTCGCTAAGTAAAAGTTAGTTTTGTTTTATTTTTTTAATAGAATGCTTTAATTAATTTTGTATTTATTGGTTCTTTGTTTATGTCGTGCATCCCTCGTGGTAAACTTGGGTTATTTCATCCCTATTTAAGCAGCCTTTTGTTCTTCGTTTCCAGGTCAGTTTTGTTTGTGTTGAGTTAGTTCAGTTGACCTAAGTTAAATTGGGCCCAAATTTGTTATTTATTTTTTGATTTATTCTTACATAAAATCTTTTTTTTTTATATTTTTGGAATATTTAAATTTTATTATTTCTACTTTGAACATTTATTTTGGTCCTTGTTGTCCCTGGTCCCCCACAATAATGCAGTATAGATCTACAATCTATTTTGATTTGTAATAGCTAACTTTACATTTCTTTCATGTGATCTAACAAAAGTACTTCCCATTTTCTTATAAATCATGACAGAACACCTTTAATGGAGCTACATTAAAACCTCCCAGCACTATTTTGTTGTGGTCTTAATCATCTTTTTCTGACTGGTTTCAAAAACAAACAAAAAACCCTCACAATAATCCACAAAGCTAGTGAGTGTAAATACTTAAAGAAAAGCCACATATAATACAATACTTTACGACTAGAATATGATAAATAACTAATGGCCCTGTTAAAACAAACCACTAAATATGTTATATAAGGGGGTTATATTCCCAAAATATGATTATTGCAATGCATTTATATACAACCAATAAATTAGATATGTTTCATCCTTAAATTTTATTGTATGACCTACTTTGTCCAAAAGACAATAACTAAAAGTCCCCACATGAGGGAAGAGCTACAAAAAGAAATAATGAATGAAGCTTCCCACAAAATGCTGTATTTGGGCACATCAGATGAAAATGGAGAGGATGGAGAAAATTGACTGAAAGTTTCATATGGAAATAATGGTTGATGAATCTGGAGGAAGAGTGGGGAGGTACATACCGGTAATCCATGTTTCCTGGAGTTCTGTGTAAAGTTTTTACAGTCAGCAAAAACGTCTGCTGAAAAAAAAAAATAGAAGTGCGGCTGATTTTAGTTTCCAGCAGGATTTTGTTGCTGCCAAAGGTAGCAAAAAGCTTATTTCAAGACCAGGGTGCCAGTTTGCTGTGTTGAACACAAGACTGACCTGAACCCCATGAATGACTGGAGCATTGTCAGGAGGAAGCTGAGAGATACCAGAGATAACAATGCAGATGATCCGAAGGCAACAGGCTGATCACCTCCATCCTACACCACAATTAATAAAAAATAATAATAATTGTAAAAATAACCCTTATTGTCCCACAACAGGGAAATTAAGGAAAACAATACTATATATATATA